CATATTTTTCAGAAATGTAAAAGTTTTTAACACAATATGCAATATGCAGAACTAATTGTAAAAAATCAATACTGTACCGTCAAAAATATGTATATACTTTCCAAGGTATATATATTTTTATGAAAAACTAAGATTTGATTTTTAAGATGTTATTGAAAATAAAATTACTAGATTCTCATTTAAAACTTTATGTTTTATGAATAATGGAGTATTACTTATTGTGGGTATATCTTCAATCTATGAAAGCTACAGTAAAATTCCACAGCGCTTAATTCCTCGCTTTTTACATAATTATTAAGAATGTATTTTGGTGTATTTATATTTTATTCCAGAACAGTGATTTAAAATTTGTACTATTAAAAATTATTACAAACTCGTTTTTGGTTTCAATTAAATAATGGCAATTTAGCACTTTAAAAGATTCTTTGTAATTGTAAGTAATTAGGTGCTACATGTGGGAATTGTAAAGGAGAATTAATGGTGGTAGATAGTCAACGTTAAAAGCTGCAATTGGACAAAATTACGAGACTGTTACGCGTTGACGGATAACATAATTGAGAGTTAAAGACAATTTAAAATGAAATCCACTATTAAGTACCGTTTCCGAACATTCGATTGTACACAAATTTCAGAATTTCAATAGTCTATTAATTATAATTTCAGTGCGCTGTGAATAAATTATCGGCCGCTCAATTAGCATTAAATCACGACGATAATTCCAAATTTTATTTTCTATTTATAAATTTGCTCTACGATGTGCAGAATTTTCAATGGCAATTGAAATCCCGACAATCTAAATCTCGACAATCATAAAACCGCCTGGGTAGTTTAGTTTATTATTCGCCCGGATCAAATCCCTTGCTTTTGTTTATATGAAAAAAATATAATATATCATATTAATAAATTCAAGGTCGGAAATACCTAAATAATATATTGTATAAATAACAACAATTAATAATCTAAGTTTATTTTAGATTATTTCTTATTATTAAGAATAAAATATTCAGGATTTTGATACTGACTTATTATGGTTTGTCGGGATTTTGATGCTGTCGGGATTTCGATATAAAACACAAAATTTTCGAGTATATATATATTCAAATATATTTGCTCGGTTCGTTATTTAAATTTATTCATAACGAAAAAAATAAATAATGCAGATTCAGAGCTGTACGTAAAGTCAAAAAAGTGTAGCTCACCCGAACTTTAATAAACGTTTTCTGCGGAATATATGTAGACAAGTTTAATACATCTCGACAAGTACAGATAGCGCACAGATTTATACGAGAAATTTAACCAATTGTTCAGTTTCTGACCGATTTGCATACTCCGGTTCACTCATTCTCATCCATACATGAGTACAATAGCCTGTATGGTCGGAAAAGCCAAAGGCGATGCATTTAATGGCCAGATCCTACTACTAATATTGCTTGAGCAGAAGGGCATCGTCTATAGTTTATTATAATTGCGGATAAGCGGATATTACAAAGCTATAATCTTTCTCAATTTAATAGCAAAATCCATAATAAAATGGAATTAACTTATACAAAATTCCACCGAATTATCTAATATTCCTATTTCCAATTGCTTATCAGCACTTCCATTTTTATTAAAGCGTTGCTATGTTAATACTTTAATGTGGATATTATTTCTTTAGCAAAACAATAATTTTAATTAAATTGCGAAAGTTATCGCACTATTTAAAATGTACAAAATCTATATTTGTAATATTTTTTATATAATTTAACCCGATATAACGCACAGATTTATAAAAAATATTTTTTTTATTTAATACAGTTGTACCTCTGTTAACGCAACCCTTGATAACGACAACGTCCGACAATCATTCGACAAAATATAGTCAGAAATACTATAAAAAAAAGAATATATCTTCTAAAAAAGTTTGATAAAAATATATTGAATGCAGAAGATAATGGTTTTTCAATGAAAAAAATGAGCAACAATACCAAAGAAACTGAAAATGAAATAAATAACGATATTACATTTCCCTGCCGAAAAAATATTAACAACCAAAGATTTATTTTGAATATAAGTTTATATTTTATTTGCAAAAAAACTACCCTATTCTGTACTTTTACCTCTGAAAACGAAGTAATTTTATGGAATGCATTATATGCGTTAATCGACTATTATTATTTATGACAGAAAGTCGATCACAGCAACTATATTTTATGTTTGTTTTAATTATTGTATGTTAAGAATGTTATTATTTAATATTATTGATTGGTAAAATCATGAACAATTTTTGAACAATCCAAATTATTCAACTAAATTACTTTATTTAGATAATTCAACTATACTTTCTTGTATTTGTATATTATTTTCTGAAATCTTCATCATGGACAGAAAATTACAAAACATTCCCATAATGACCATTTACTTTTTATAGCCTTTAATGCAAAGTGTAAGAATGAATATAAAATAAATTGAAACACAAAAACAAAAATAAAACCTTCCTTTTTATGATAAAATCGTGAGTTAATGGCCTCTTTCTTAATGGCGAATAAATATTATTCTCTCTCTCTCTAAAACCGTCCTTTTAGTATATACATTAAGCCATAACTGAATATTAATCTCCCTTTTTTTAATGAACTTAAATAAACTGTGGTGCGATTAAAATATATTCATCAATATTAATTAAATAAGACTCTCAAATTTAATTGAACATTGCTGAATGCAATTAAAATTAAATTATGAATATATTTATATTGATTAATATTATTACGAAATTAATGATTATAATTAAAACGATATATTTTATTAAATATAATCAATTGCTGTTAATTTTTATCTAAGACTTTTATACGCTATTTAGTATTGATTTATATTGTTAAAGTAAACTAATCATGTTCTAATAAATTATATTAATTGTCAAGTAAATATAATAAAATGATTCATAAATTGATTCTTTTCTAAATAATTAGGTTCAAATTAAAAATGCACAAAAGAAAATGTAAAGAGAAATATGAGATATTCCTATGCGGTACATTTTCAAATCTAATTATTCTCCTACAGTAAACATTTACGTATCTATTTAAAAAAAAAACAATTGTAAAGAAATTAATGTACAAGAAAATATAAATAAATTATAATATGGTACTGGTTTTAGTATATAATTGTGCTCAAGAACCGATATTCCACTATTTATTAATGCATTTAAGATATATTAATCATATAACTTAGTTCAAAACTAAATTAATTTATTTATTTTGTAATAAATAGACTTATTCAGAATATTCTCTAATAAGATTTTTTTTTTGTTAAATTAAAATTAAAATAATATAACACTAAAGAAACAATTGAATTTGAAAAATAAAACATAAATGAAAAATATTACATAAATCTATTGGCGTTTTGAAAATACGCAATGCGTTTCTGGAGTGGCAATAAACAGAGCGAACATGAGATATTCCTATGCGGTACAATTTCAAATCCAATTATTTTCATGCAGTAAGCATTTATGAATCTATAAAAATGAACTATTGTAAAGAAAACATTCTAGAGAATTTCTATATATAAATTATCTTATTTTTTATTACATGTTAATATATTATAATATTTAGTTATATTATAATTAACAGGAATAAATGAATATATAAGTTTTCTTCTTAAAAAAGAATTACGATCAAGAACTAAATATGAGATCTATTTTGCGAACTTATATTATTTTCTATATACGAAAAGTGGGTAATCGGTACTTTCTCTCGCGTTATTTCGTAATATCGTTAATCGCGTGGCGTCTGAGAAAGTCTGTTAAATAAATGTTTATTTTGTAAACAAAATATATTACTCATTACCATCGTTTGTTTCTTATTATTTGTCTGAAGCCATTGGTAATTTTCGTAAAATCTCTACATCCGGTTCATTTTCTGTATCAAAAACTTTTTTCGATTCTTCTATAAACAATGATCAATTTTAATTTCATTATATATACATTTTAATATTTTAATGCCGAAAGAGCTAAGGCTTACAGGGGCATGCACCTTTAAATAATTAACATTGTAATATGTCTCAATTTGAATAAATAAACTGAAATATATATACATTTTAATAACTAAAGTTTCGATAATGGTATAGTAAAATGTTCATGGCGTCTGATAGACACTGATAATACTATTATGCTGTTAATCGTTTGAAAATGGCTTTTACAAATCATCAGTCAGTATGAAGATAAAAGGTCGAGGTTGCCCAACCTTTTCAGTTATAAAAAATTGGTATTGTATCCAGCAGTGTTAATTGCTTGCATTTTGTTAATATTCCGATTACTAATATGGAATACTACATTAAATAACACGCGTTATTATTGTTAAAACTCAAATTAAAATAAGTAAAATAAAAATATTCAGTTTTAGAATAAATAATATGTCTAATTCAAAAATTAAATTCGGCTATCTTATTTGAGATACCCTTCAGTATTACCATTCAAAACATTATTGATTACAAAATAGAAATGTTTGCAGAAGCATTAATTCATGTAGCGTTTTGTAAACACAATTATATTTATCAGAGTGGCCCGAAATGTGCATCTGGCATTATTGGGATTTTATGCACTTTTTTAACAACACATCATAAAAATGTGTCATAAAATTTCGGGTGTTGACACTTTTTATTTCACACTATTTCACCGTCCATTTAATGAACTTTTGTTGATTTTTAACATATTAAATTATTAATTATGACGTAATAATTATACAATTTTAATTAAGAATCCTTTAATTAGTAAACATATATTTTTTCAATAATGTTTACGCATATTTTTTTCATATTAATTGATGTTAAATATTATTTAAGAAAATTGTTTCCCTAACTATACTTCTTATATCTACAGTTTGTAACCATATTTTGTTTTTTTAATATTTTTATATAAGTTGACAAATAAACGATCGTAAAAATTTCGAAACTCGAAGTTCATTATATAAAAGAAAGTAGAAATGCACTGAAGAAATAGTGACGTGGCATGAGTGAAAATGATTAATTACCTGTATTTGACAGATTAATTCCCCATACGGCCAGCAGTTTCTCAACGAAGGAACTATAGCAAAAGGAGTTACGAACAATCCCATTGCGAGGTCGTTGCTTGCCAGAGAGGTCAACAGATATCTGGGCTGGAATTTAGAAAAAAAAACACATAATTACAGTTAATTATAAAGTGGAGGATTTTGGTGAAATATATACCTGTGAGTGGATATATTTGGAGTATCTTCTGCTGTTTATTACGAATATCAGCAACATGTTTGCAAGTAGCACTCCAACAGTTAATAAGAGGACTATCAGTGCTTGAATCACTTCTCCAGGACCTAATCCTGCCAGTATGCTGAGCCCAGTGTATCTGGGATGCGAGCAGCTGCTGTTTTGGAGAGCCGGTGCTACGAGTATTGTTGTTTTGTGATGCATTTTATATTTTCTTCACTCTCTGACATCTAATCTACATCCCAGGCACACAACGCGGCACAACCATGCTTCACAAATGCACTAAGAAAACAACCCTCAAGCCACCTGTTCCACCTGAAATACAAAATAACATGGATTATTTTGATATTAAAATATAGTCACGTATTCAAATTTTATATAAAAAATGTAAGAACAGTATTAAGAAATCGTAAAATATAATTATAACAAATATATTTTAGGTATACGAAGTTTCTCTTCAATTAAATTTAATTTTTTTGACCAAGAATAATTTTTGTTTTTTTACTGAAAATATATTTTTATTAAAATATCTATTTAATTTTTATATAAATTAAAGTTTTGAATTACAAAAAATTGTGCATTATTTCTGTGTACATCATTCTAGTTAGAAAATTAATTTTCTTTTTATTTTATATAATTTATAAATTGTTATTAACCCCATTTGGCTAAAGACTTTATTTTTACATGTAATAAATACTATATTTGATTAATTATTATTATGTAAATTGTTTTAGATTAAATGGACAATTGTATATTACATTCATGTTTAAACAACTTGAAAAGATTTTAATGCCGAAAGAGCTAAGGCTTACAGGGGCATGCACCTTTAAATAATTAACATTGTAATATGTCTCAATTTGAATAAATAAACTGAAATATATATACATTTTAATAACTAAAGTTTCGATAATGGTATAGTAAAATGTGCATGGCGTCTGATAGACTCTGATAATATTATTTTGCTGTTAATCCTTTGAAAATGGCTTTTACAAATCATCAGTCAGTATGAAGATAAAAGGTCGAGGTTGCCCAACCTTTTCAGTTATAAAAAATTGATATTGTATCCAGCAGTGTTAATTGCTTGCATTTTGTTAATCTTCCGATTACTAATATGGAATACTACATTAAATAACACGCGTTATTATTGTTAAAACTCAAATTAAAATAAGTAAAATAAAAATATTCAATTTTAGAATAAATAATATGTCTAATTCAAATTTTTTTATATTTATATATTTTTTATTAAAATATCTATTTAATTTTTATATAAATTAAAGTTTTCAATTACAAAAAATTGTGCATTATTTCTGTGTACATCATTCTAGTTAGAAAAATAATTTTCTTTTTATTTTATATAATTTATAAATTGTTATTAACCCCATTTGGCTAAAGACATTATTTTTACATGTAATAAATACTATATTTGATTAATTATTATTATGTAAATTGTTTTAGATTAAATGGACAATTGTATATTACATTCATGTTTAAACAACTTGAAAAGAGATTCAACTAAATTGAGTTAATATTAAAGGAGATGCCAAATAAACTTTTCATTTAGAGACTCCATACTTTTTGAAGTTAATTTTAATATGATGCTTAATACATAATATGAACCATTAATACATTAATAAAATAACCAAATATAATTTAATACATATAATACATATAATTTAATACAAAATAAAAGAAATTATAATATATAATTATAAAACGTAAAATAAATAATTAAACATGATAATTCATGATAAATTACAAGAAAAGAAAATATCTACATATGGAGGTAAAGAAAATAGACCTAGATCCATTTACAATATTTTATTATCTGAAATATCCTCGTTATAATTAATATTGAAATGTTTTATCTTGCCTTCACATTAGAACTAAATATTAAAGTAAATGTACTCATATAGTTTATACTAAATAGACTGAAGAAACAGGAATCACATTAAACTATGATATTTTTGGATAATACAAAATTATAAAAAAAAATATTTTTCTTGAAAGTTATTAGGTTATTTTTATTAAGTTAGATACAAAAAGCTAAGAGAGAAACCTTATAAGACAAGCAAATTATGAATTGGCTTTAGCTTGAAGTAATACTTTTTGAAAATCTACCAAGAAAATATTAAAATAATTAATTTTAAGAATCAAAATCGATAAATATAAATTTTATTCTCAATTCAAGTTTACAAATTACAGATAATTAGATGGTAGTCATGTGGGAGGAATAATTTCGAGCCCAATTTAGTGAAGCAAATTATAGACTGTACCTTCCATTAAATTCAATATGTATTGACTGAAGTACGTCTTAATTTACTAGTCCAGAATTAATAATATTGACGTTAAATTATTACCCGAATACATGAATTCCACCATCTCGACAATTTTTACTGCAGTTTTGATTCGTTGTAATTTATATAATATTTATTTCAAGTCATAAAATATTATGACAAATCGATATTTCATATTCACAATTCATTTCATAAGCTATTTTAATTATAAATTGGATTCAGTTAAATCCTCCAAATGCCTCGGTTACCTGTAATTGTTTAATTTTTAGTGCGGAAATTCCACAACGCGCAGAGTTTCGAATTACGTTTCCGGCGGTATGGTGTTCCATTAAAACGAAATTTAATACCGTTTTGCGCTGTTTACTATTCGCTCTACTAGCAGTTTAACACTTTTGCACTAATACTGCATATCATATACAATAGTTATTTTTCAACTAACAACTAAAAAGCAGTTAAAACAATAGTAGATGTGTACATTGCGGAATTTTAATAGTCCATTCATTTTTTATGCTGCTGTTCATGTTCCCACTTTCCACTGTGTTGAAATTTGTATTACTATTTTCAAAGTTTTCAATAAATTTTAATCTAGCAATTGTGTATCGTTTACGAAATACTTTACAATTATCATAAAATGCACATTGCCGAATTTGGACCAATATCGTAATTTTTTGCAGTTAGCAATTCATTTTTTTAGAAAACTAATAGTCGTCACGCTGTTATAAAGTAAACATAATATGTTTTTATATACTTAAAAATACAACAATAATTTATATAATAATTTTACTATAATTATTTTAATCGCAATACAAGGATTATGTGAAACATTTACAATTATTTCTTAAAGTTTACATATATTGGACCACAAACCTAAGTTTGATCAATTAAATTTAAGAAGGTAGTTTTAATAACAAGTACAGTATGACTTTGTTTTGCAATTATGGTGCGTTTCTAAACGAAATTCGCTAAATGAGATATACCTCAGACTGTAGACAAAATATGTAATTATATCCTTAAACATTAGGGTTAAGTGAAATATTTTCATTTAAATCTCAAAGTTGCATAATGTTGAACTATTAAACAAACATAAATTTGATTGATAACATTGAAGAAGATTTACTCTTATGATGCGTTTTTAGACGACAAGCGTTAAATTAATCAACGTTAATTGAAATCACAATAATACATACTAAATAGATTACTTTAGCATATAGTAAATAAGTAAATTTCATAAAATCTCTAGCACAAACTAAGAAATAAATGTACTGTAACGAAATGCTACGCTATTGATAAGCTTTATAAAACTAATAGTAAGTTGGTAGTCCATTCTGGGAAACTAATGGCGTTGATTGGATGGATTGTATTTCCCAATTCGGCAACTCTACCTTTTACATTGTTACGGTAAAAGTATATAATGTGTATACATTTACCGATTATGTACGGTAAATGTATACCAAAACTTGTAAATGTATACATTTACAGATTATGTACTTCTACCATAACATATACATTCAATTATATAAAACATCAATTGATCGAGTGGTAGATAGTTTAGTATTTTTTTTAAATTATAAGAAATTGTTACATAACATTTTTTTTATACATAAATTGTCGTACTTTAGTCTATAGTCAGGTTTTCATTTATGCAGTTTATTTTTATACGGATTTTAAGTCCTCAATTAGTCCGACTATTGATACTTGTATATTAAAATTAATAATATACTCACATAATGGAAATATCCGATCTTGACAAAAAATGTACATTATTTATGTTTAATTTATTTCTCATTTACATAATTAATTATTTCATAATAATAAATTTAATTTATTAATGGATTACATTTACTGCACGAATACACAAAACTTAAATTAATATAGAAAATAAAGTACTTTTTTTGTATACATACAAAAATTACAGATATACAAAGTGCTGTTAAAGACTGCAGTTCTTAGGCCAAAATTGTATTACTATTGTGAAATTTCTTATATTAATAATTCATCAGTTTTTATATTCTTGATTCCATCATTATTCACTTGTATTTTTCGTTTGTATTTTCTTCATTTTATATCGAATATAATACGATATTGTTTTCTTCGGTTACATCTTCATTTCCTGTCTCATCATTTTCTGAATTGTGGTATGTTTTCTACTACCGTTGATATTATTTCCTATTTCAGTCCTTATTATTGCCAAATACATGTCCAAGTTAATCAATATCTCAATTTCAAAGTTAGTTTTCGTTTATTGTATCATATAATTCCGTAGAATCTATTCCATATGTACTTTATACACATTTAAAGATATATATTTATCTATTGTTAATGTTTTGTATGACATCCATTCAATTTAATTTACATACAAATCAATAATATTGCTCAAGAAAATTATTAGGAGAAAAATCGTAAATGTTTCATTGGAAATAATTTAAAAATATTAAATTTAAATATTACTACCACAAAATCTATATGTGCTGTAAATATTCGGAATCTAACGTTTGGATATTAAGTGTGCAAATGTAGCGTGAGTAATTTAAATGGGATCATGGTTAAAAGGATTTTAAAGTGTTGATATAAATAAGGCGTTAATGGAAGAGGTTATAGTTGGTGTAAAAACAGGATAATGATTTTCAGAAGTAATGTTTTCCAAGTGGATTGTATCACTTTTAATTCCGGAAATAACTTACTTTAATGCTTAATAAACCCGTAGCAAAACTACCTACAAAAGCAATTGTAGAATAAAAAAATATGATTAAATATATAATTGTAGAAATTAACATATATTTCTTTATAATATTTTATTTTGAAATAAATCGTAATTATAACACTCACTCTAGCAAATGTTTTATGTTCGGATATAAAACACATATTCAGATAACGTACACTTTACTGACAGATTGATGTTACCGTTTTGGAAGATTGTGGTAATGTTAAGCTTAAGACTCATCTTAAACCGTTGATCAGTTGACAGACAATTCGGGTAGTTACGTTCGTTAATAGAACACTGTATATAGATATCCTTTTATA